GATGTTTGCAATTCCAAATAAAATGGTTTCGATGTATACAATAATATAATAAATTAAAAAAGACAGAACCTATTTTGAGGCAAGGAATAAAATACTTACAATAAATTTTACTGAAAAAGCTATAAGATTAAAAAAAAATAAACACCCCCGCCTTAAGTTAATTTAGACAAAATTATTAATAAGAGACGTTTGTAATTCCAAATAAAATCAAATTGCAATGTGTACAACAAATAAATAAATAATACAATATATTTATTATAAATAAGTATAATATACATAATAAATTAAACAGAATTCACTTTACTTCAATGTAAAATGCTGTCATTAATTTTCCTAACAGGCTAAAGCTACATTCTATTGCCACTGTAGAAGATAATTGATTTTTCGTTTTTATGCTCATAAGACTATATATTATACGCGTATATATATATATATATACATATATATCTCAGCGGTTTAGCAGCGCTCGAGCCAAGTTTAACTTAAAAGCGGAAAACGCGGCGGCCGTTTTATACGTAACCGGACGGAATATTTTTGTCCCGCTATTACAGGGCGAATTCCGCAACCGCGTGCGGCCGGTGCCAGGCATAGAAAATAAGAAGCACGAGAGCCGCACGCGCCGTGCCGCGCCGCTTCGCGCGTTTTTCATTGACCTATATATCGGTTAGTCATCACGATACAGAAGCGAGGAATCTCACGGGAATTAGGACAGGGCCTCGGCCGTCGGCGGGTCAAGGTTTCTGCCACGGCACACGTTCCTGCCCGGATCAGCTGTATTCTCCCTCCTCACCCCCTCGCATTCACTCACTCTCTCTCTCTCCTCCTCATTCGCTCCCTCTCTTTCTCTCCTCGTCATCCCGATTGTTTCCGATTCGCGTTCTAGGTTAGACCCGCCGCGAGCGGGCTCGTTCCCATCTGCACTTTCTTGGTTCTGCACTTCTTCCACGTTCACAACGAGAGGATTCATGCATTCTAGGTTTTCCATAATTCAGAAACAAACGGATGTTTATCAAGGACATAGGAAGCGGAAAATATGAGCGAAAGGAATGAACGTAAAATCAGTCCGTACTCCAACGACAAGCGGGAAAAGAAGCGGGATGAGACGCGGAGAGTGCAGAAGGTGCAGCAAGAGGAACGAGCGACTTTTTCAGAGTGCCGCGTTCGAACGATGATGAGACCGTTCCCTTCGGTCGCGTCACGGTCACGTTGCACGTCCTTGGGGAACAGGAAGAACGTTTATACGAAATAAAAGGAAAGGAGGAAGTAAGGAAAAATCGAAGGGACGAGAGATCCGCTCGGCGGATCAAACGCTCACCTTGAGGAAATTCTCGACGAAGAGCTCGATGCCCTTGACTCTGGCGTAGTAACCGCGATTGATCTCAGGCGCCTTCCGGGCGGTCTGCTTCACGAACAGGCTGATGAACGGGTCGCACCAATAGCCGAGTTGCACCGCGTAACGCTTGCACTCGCTAGCGTCGTCGTTGGTGGCCTGTATGGCCTCATCGTCCGCCATATCCTTGATCATCCCACCGGCGCCGGGGACAGTGGCGGATTGCCGCACCGCTCGCTCTCACCCTATTTTTCTCTCTCCTCTCTCTCTCTTTCTCTCACGCGTAAACACACGACGATGCACACGCACACTTTTAACTCTCCCTCTCACTCTTCCGATATATCAGATGGAAACGAGCATTCTATCACTCGCGCAAACCGCGCGAATATCCTAGAGATGATGCGCTCTTACTGCGAACTATCGCGGATCTGTCAAAGTCAGAGCAAAGAGAAACCTGAGAGAGGTTATGCCAGTCTTTTTTCTGTTACCGTCGAAATCATCCGTACACTACCGCCAATACAGCATTTTTGGTTTGGGAACTACATGGCTACATCCATTTTCTGACCCTGTCGATAATATTATAACGCAGAGGCTGTGTTCACTTTGGCGTTCACAACACTTTAAGCATCGTTTTATCCTTCTTGTTTAATAAATGTTAAACGCACCAAAATGACAATGTTTGCGATGTTATCGTAGCAAATGAGCGATATATTTGAATTTCACAAAAAATCTTTTATGCGCACACACACAACGGTTTTTATATAAAAATAAACTACATATATTTATATGTAGAAATTATATAAGAAACAATACAAGTTATGTGTATGTTGCTTTACATATTATATATATATATATATCACATATACATATAATTTGCTTTACACGAAATAATATGAAATGATATATATACATATATATACAAATTATGTATATTACGTTTATACATATTAAAGTTTTACATGAGAAAGATATTTACATATTTTTCATGTTATTCTGTATATCCCAGTACATGAGGACGGATTAAAATAGGTTGAAATTTTATCTATCTGAATATGTATTTTAAATAACAAAAAGCTTTTTTTCTTTTTAGAGTCAGTTGAATTCAATTGGACTGACAAACTATATTTTCTATTCAGAATTTTCAATTGATTATTTACGAGGTACGGAAAAGCTATTACTTTTAAATTGAAAGAGATAGAAATGTGCTCCGTCCAATTCGTATATAACGGAATAAACATACATTCGGATTCATTTTAACGTTCGCGAATGCGTATTTTTAAAAATCTGAATCTATCTTAATCTAATTCAATCCATTCTCTTATATATAACCACACTTACTTCTGTATAAACTTAACAAAAAGTATAATAAAAATATAGTGGAATATACATATTTACAGCTACAAATTATTTACGACTTGTTTAAAGTAGTAAACATATTTCTGAAAAATTTGAAATTTAAATTGTGAACGATGTGATATATATACTCTGTATAATTATTATTTGTACAAAACTGTTTTGCTGAAAATATGCTGTTAACATACATATTATGCGTACATTCCACAACTTATTTAACATATTAGATAGTACACGAATAGATAGTACACGAAATTAACGTTAATAATTATTAAATATCTCATATTCTCAGCCTTCTGGTTGTCTTTATTCTTTGTTCTGCCATTTATAAAAGTAACAATATTAAGTCGATTAAAGTGCAATCAGCTTCCAAAAGAGTTACATCCGTTTCAGCAACTAAGAACTTGGAAGAAATTCCAAATCCTTTTTTCTTAATCAAATCCAACGGCTGTTCTACAATGTGCTTCTTGTTTCCTGTTTCTTGCTGTTTGTCTCTGTTTGTCTCTTGTCTTTTTGATCAAGAAGGCACGAGACAAACAGCAAGAAACAGAAAACAAAAAGCACATTGTAGAACAGCCATTGGATCCTCTCGCATAGTATCTAAAGAACAAAATAACAATATATAAGACAGTATTCGTCAGTATATTTGATATATAGCAAATATCATTAAACATAAATAACATTTATTTGTGAAAAAAATAGATTTATATGTACTGTCCAGGTCTCTGACTTCTTGAGAAGAAGTCTCTGACAAACGCAATAAAATTTCGATCCAAAATCAATATACAGATTATCACCAACCATATAATATGTTATCTCACCAATTGCGACTTCTTCCAGATCACTTAACTGAAAACAAAATTATGTAATATTAATATTAACATGCTTTAATATCAAAGTATTTAATATTTTCTAGTGTGTACAATTGTTTGACTGACGAGGACAAAGAAACTTTGGCTTCTTTTGTTCTGTGATTGGTCGAACATAAATCTTTCAATCTTCAATTTCATTCTTCAATTGGTCTGTTTTCTGTTCCTACATTAGACTGTTCTAGAACTCTCTTTCTCGCTTTAAACGAATATCAAACTGTAGGGACACACTTTCCACACTTTTATCCACTCAACAGTACACACGCGCCGCCACCAGATGGCGCAAGGATACAGGTTCCATCCACCCTGTTTCTCTCTTCTCGGATAAGAAGTTCGTGACTGTAACGTACTTTGTAGTTAAATAAAATATATTCTGTTATTATTGTCTACACGCAGGCCAATCATTCTGAGATTCTCCTAATCCCACGTGGCGGACCGCTACAAAACGTATATCTATCTCACTTTAAGTTCCAAAAGTGTACACTAGTTTAGTCATAAAAAATAATGCGTAGTCTGATTCCGGCCTAATGCCCGTGTCACACTACGGATTGCGAACGCGGATCGGATTGGGATTGCGGATCGTCGGATTTGGATTCTTCGTTCACACTACGGACCATGGTAC